CCGCCTCTCCTCCCCCGCCTCCCCCTCCTCCTCCTCCCTCCCCTTCCCCTTCTCGCCCGGTGCTGCCGGGATGAGCCTCCCACGATTTCGTTTCCATTTCGGGCACCGGTGGTGCTCGCTGCCGGCTCGGCGGCAACAACGATTCCCTCTCCCCCGCCTCCCTCCGCCACCCGCCAGCCCCGGGTTTTCTTTCCCCTCCGAGTTAAAAAACGAAAAAACCCCGAGACAACGGCTAAAAGCAAAAAGCCCGATAGCCCCAAATTCTTTTTGCTGGAATCGGTTCAGTCCCCGCCGATCCTCGGCGCCCGGTGAGTCCCCTCGGCTCCCCGGTTCTCTCCTGTCGAGGCTGGAGCTGTCCCCCCCGAGCCCGGAGCTGTCCCCGCCGCTCCCCGGTGTGTCCCCGCCGCTCCCCGGTGGGTGCCCACCGCGCTCCGGCGCATCCCGATTTTCCCCGGCGAGTGCCGGCATTCCCGGTCCCCGCCACTCCCGGGCGTTTTAACCCGCTCCCCGATGATCCCGGGGCTCCTCGCTCCCCGGCACTCCCGGTCGATGCTCCCCGCGCCCCGGTGGGTGCCGACATTCCCGGCCCCCGCCGCTCCCGGGCGGTTCTCTCCAGCCCCCGATGGATATTGATGCTCCCCCGTCCCCGCCGCTCCCGTTCCCGGTGGGTCCCGCTCTCCCCGTTCAGCACCGGGCTCACCGGGACAGCTCCGCGCCCCCGAGGCGCCGGGGGGTCCCCAGTCCCCGATTCCCGCTCCCCAATCCCCGATTCCCGTTCCCCGTCCCGTCCCCTCGGTTTTTTTTTTTTTTTTTTTTTTTTTTGGTAAAAAAATCACCCCAAACCTCACGCTTTTTTGACTTTTTTTTCCCCAAACTCCTCTCCCTGCCGGTGCCACCTCGGTTCCCAAGCACTCCCAGCAGTGATCCCAAAATTCCCGCTGGATTTCTGCTCCCAATCCCATCCCACCAATCCCGATTCCCGTTCCCCGTCCCGTCCCCTCGGTGTGTTTTGGGTAGAGTAGCCTTGTAGCCAAGTGTGTGTGCCGCAGACGCGCCCGGAGCCGGCGGCCGAGGTGGCCGAGGTAGCCGAGGTGGCCGCGGTGGTCGCGGTGGCCGCGGTGGCCGCCAGCCCGCTGGCCGCTCGCCCCGGTGCCGCGGAGAGCCGCGGGCGCTTTCTCTGCGCGCTTCTGTCCGTGACGAGTCAATAAAAGGGATTGAAAGTGGAGCCGCCTCCGTGCTTGGGGGGAAAAACCGGGATCCTGTCCCCAGGGCGGGGAGGGGACAGCCAGGAGGTGGCACCGCCACAGCCGCCTCCTTTTATGTGTTTTACCACATTTTTTTAATATCGTAAAAACATCAGTTCATTTTTTCCGGCCATAAAGCAGGCGCGGAAATCGCGTTTGCGTGCGAACGGAATCGCCCAAATCTATTAAATCTTCCCTATAAATTCACTCCGGAGGGGAAAAAAAAGGAATTCCATTTTCCCCCGGTGAGCATCGGAATCCGCTGGAGCAAGGAAACATCCCACGGATGTGTGTTTTGCATCATTTCATGGATCATTTTCTGTCGTTTTCCAGATAATTCTCTATAATTTTAACTATCATTTCTATCATTTTTATATAATTTTAGATATGCTTTCTATCATTTTAGATATGTTTTTATCATTTTAGATATGATTTCTGTCATTTCAGATATCTTTTATTTATCATTTTTCCTGTAGTGTGTTTAATTTTTGATGGAATTTCTACAATCTCCCCCCCCCCCTGGCGATCCAACATTCCTTTCTCCAGGGGAAAAATTGCCCAAATCCCTCCAAAATGCCCCCAAATCCCGGGAGTGTGAGGCTGCTCCAGGTGTTCAGATCTGCCTGGCAGAGCCTGGATATTCCCATAATTGTTGACATTCCCATAATTGTTGCTATTTCCATAATTAATTGTGGATATTCCCACAATTGTTGACATTCCCATAATTGTTGACATTCCCATAATTAATTATGGATATTCCCATAATTGCTGACATTCCCATAATTGTTGATATTCCCATAATTGTGGATGTTCCCATAATTGAGCGTCACGCTCGGGAGTCACGGCGGGAATGGAAAAAGAGCAATGATTCCAGCTGCCTTTAATTAGGGATCCGTGGATTCCCGGGAATCTGGGATTGAGGCTGGGATTTGCTGCTCTCCAGGAGGCCACAAATAAAGGAGGGGTGGGGATTTACATTTTTCCTGGAAAAAATTCCTGCTGGGAATGGTTAAAGCATCCATGGAGTGCTCGGAACTCCCAAAAATCCTCTGGTTTTATCCCCATGGCTGGAATGAGCGGAGAGGTCTGGAGGGAACTCCAGCCCTGCAGTGGGAATGTCCCAGTTCGACCAGTTGGGAATGTCCCAGTTTGAACAGCTGGGAATTTCCCACTTTGAGAGTCGGGAGTTCCCAGTTTGACCAGTCAGGAATATCCCAGTTTGGCCAGTCGGGAATTCCCAGTCTGACCAGTTGGGATGGACAGGCCCAGTAGAATCCAATTGGGAATGTCCCAGTTTGACCAGTCAGGAATGTCCCAGTTCGACCAGCTGAGAATTTCCCACTTTGACCAGTTGGAATGGGCCAGTTGGGAATGTCCCAGTTTGACCAGTCAGGAATGTCCCAGTTTGAACAGCTGGGAATTTCCCAGTTTGACCAATTGGGATGGGCCAGTTGGGAATGTCCCAGTTTGACCAGTCAGAAATGGCCCAGCTTGACCAGTTGGGATTGGCCCAGTATGACCCAATTGGGAATGTCCCAGTTTGACCAGTTGGAAATTCCCAGTTTGACCAGGTGGGAATGTCCCAGCTTGACCAGTTGGGATTGGCCCAGTACGATCCAACTGGGAATTTCCCAGTTTGAGCAATCAGGAATCTCCCGATTTGATCAGTTGGGAATGTCCCCGTTTGACCAGTTGGGAATTCCCAGTCTGACCAGTTGGGATTGACCCAGTATGACCCAATTGGGAATGTCCCAGTTTGACCAGTTGGGATTGGCCCAGTACGATCCAACTGGGAATTTCCCAGTTTGAGCAATCAGGAATTTCCCAATTTGATCAGTTGGGAATGTCCCAGTTTGACCAGTTGGGATTGGCCCAGTATGACCCAATTGGGAATGTCTCAGTTTGACCAGTCAGGAATTTCCCAGTGTGACCAGTCTGGGGTGGACAGGGACCATTCCCATTCCCATTCCCATTCCCATGTGGGATCTGCAGGATGAAATCCCCACAATCCCGATTTTCCGGCCTTTTCTCAGGAATTCTCTGCAGGGACATGAGGAGGTGGCTTGGGAATGCATCCCCAGTGCCATCCCCAGTGCCATCCCTGGTGTCATCCCTGAATTCGGGAATTTCCTCCTCCCTCCTGATCCAGCCCCGGTCCCACAACCCCTCTGTGGAATCGCCCCGCCACCCTGTGTCCCCAAAAGCCTGTCCCCAAATGATGTCCCCAAAGCCTGTCCCCACTCCCTGTCCCCATCTCCTGTCCCCAAACCCTGTCCCCAAACCCTGTCCCCAAAGCCAGTCTCCACCCCCTGTCCCCAAATGCTTTCCCCAAAGCCTGACCCCAAACGGGGCTTTGGGGGATTTTGGGGGTCAAGGGTTTGAAGGGGGAACAAGATTTTAGGGGATTTGGAGGTCAGGGGTGTGGGGGGAGAGGTTTGGGGGCATTTTGGGGGACAGGGAATTGGGATGATGGGGTTTTAGGGGATTTTGGGGTGCAGAGGTGTGGGTGGATGGGGTTTTAAGGGATTTTGTAGGGTAAGGGTGTGGGGGGAGAGGTTTTAGGGAATTCTGGGTATCAGAGGTGTCAAGTGACAGGTTTTGGGGGATTTTGGGGGGAAGGGGTGGGGGGGAT